CTCTGTAAATGTCATTTTAATTGTAACAGATCATTTCAGCACAGATTAAGCTTGTATAGGAAAGGAGAGGATTTGGCTACAATAACCTCACTGTAGGTATGCCATGCTAAAAGCCTTATTATGGCGACTTTATTGGGTTGAAACGTGCATTTGCATGGCAAAATGTGACTTTCATTGAAGCAGATGTCTTGATCACAAATTATCTTACAATGCACTAGAAAAGAAATTGTTAAAGACTTCTGAAAATAAAAGCATTGAGTAATACCAATTAAAATAAAATCACTAATGAGTTCATTCAGCCCAGCTCTTCTCAACTGTTCCAGAACTGTAGCTGCCACGTTCACTTACTGGGCGTTTGTGGCACCTACCCCATACCCAGCCAGGTACTCCCGGTACTTAAACAAGCATCCAGATATTTGCAACGTTTCACCACTCAACATGTGTCTTTTACATCTAATTGCGGTCGAAAGGGCGAGCCATCCACATCTAGATGCTCTTCTTCCCTCTCCCTGCCCGGCGAAGCATACGCGAAAGTTTAAATGTACAGGAATGTTTGAATTTGTTGGGATTTTTTTTATTCGAGAGTTGTATCTGGGCAGAGAGGGGAGCAGCCATCCCGCAGGCACCGCGCGAGGATGTAGGGAAGGAGGCCTAGGAGGGAGCGGAGCCCCGGCCGTCCGCCCCCGCGATGCCCAAACTCGGCAGCGGGGAGCGGGGAGGCGCATCCCGCAGCAGCGCCGGTTTTCACTGCACATTACTTTTGCCACCTAGCGTCAACATCTTTTCAACTGGCTTGCCGCTGCTTCACAAACTTTGCTATGGCGTTATCGCCGGGAAAGGGAGAGAGACAAGAGGAAAACATCACTTCGTATCGGGTTTACCAAACGAGTGGGGCGGGGGGAGGAGAGCGGCAGTATCCGTGTTGAAATTTGGGGGTGGCCCGTCGGTGGAGGCGAGAAGTGATACATCACCGCGAATCTTTTAATCTACGAGAGATAGAAACTTGGTCCATTAGCATCCACTTGCTTAAAAAATTGAAAGAAAAAGTTACACGCGCGAGGGCTTTAACCTAGAGATAGAAAAAAACCCAAGAAAACGACAACAGAAATAACCCAAACCACAAAACAACTGAAAAAACTTGCCCCCAAATCCTTAACAACCCCCCTTCGGTACCGGGTATTTGTTAAATTGACGTGGCACAGATTTCTCGATTACCGCTGCTGAGCGTGACTGAAAGGCGCCGTGAGAGTCGGCAGGATCCTGCCCACGGCGCTCATTCTTCTCCGGCTTAATTTATGCCACGCGATTCTGTATTGGGGAAATCAAGCAGAAAGCTCCTTTTTCTGCTTTTTTCCCCCCTCTCCCTCTCTCTTTCAGATGCTGGGCTAACGGGGAGACTGTTTAACTTAAGTGTTTCTATAGGAGGCTGTTGTAGTTTAACTCCTGCCCACCAGTAGCTGAGGCGAACAAAGGAGGGACTCGAGGTCTAACTATTCATCCATTCTCTGCACTTTAATTTTCATTGATTTCGAAGACAAGGGGAGCCCTTAGGGATTCTCGCTGAAGGGGGATGACACGCCTTTAGACGCGATCAGCCCCCCAGCCAGCCATCTGCTCCCAACCAAATGGCGCTTTTTCGCTCCCAACCGCGTGTCTCCGCACCGCGCTCGCCCGCCGCCCCCGCCGCCCCCGCGCTGTTAAACCGTGCCCGCGCACTGACACCGACCCCCGCTGCCGGGGATGGACGGACGACCGCTCCCGTCCCGTCCCGTCCCGTCCCGTCCCGCCGCCCTGCCCGGCCGCGCCTGCCCGGCCGGGGTGAACCGGCAGCAGGACCCCCGGAGGGAGAGCGCAGAGCCCGGGGCCCCGCCATGGTGCGGTGACCCCGCACGGCCGGGACGCGGCGGGCCCGGCCCCGCCTGCCAGCGGCTCGCTGGGGCTGGTGGAGCATTGTGCTCGCCCTCCCTGCCCCTAATTGTTACCCTTCCCGCAACGCCGGCCCCCCTCTCCCACCCCGGCGAGGATTTACGGTGGCGCCGAGCAGCAGCGCTGCCTAGAGCTCCCCATCAGCCGCAGCTTTTATTTCTAAGCGAGCCAGATTATGGGAAAAGTCACTTCAAAGGGGGGGGGAGGGATATGCGTGTGTGTTAATTAGGGCTACGCGCTGCCATCGCTGGCGCGCAACCCTGATTTTTCCCCGGACGGAGGGCTCCGGGCATATGGCGAACGGTGCGTCGGCGGAGGGACGTGTACGTGTGGAGCTATGTGTAGCCGAGTGTGCATAATATTTTAATTAGGTCTATAGTCCCTACGGAGGTATGTGTGCGCGGCTGTCCCCCCGCCGCAGCCCTCCCCGCACGCCCCGTTCACCTGTCCCTCCGGGCCGGGCCGGGCCGGGAGGGAGGGGATGGGAAATGAGGGAAGGGCAGGCGGGGTGCCGCCGGGCCGGGGCTCTGGCTCATCCATCGGCTCCAGGCTCGGCGGCACGATCGGGGTGCCGGCGCTGCCCTGGGCCCCGCCACCGGGCGCCCCGAGCAGGTGGGCGGGTGGGTGGGGGGCGCAGAGGTGCCGCGGTGGCGGAGGGGCGCTCCGCCGCCCTTGCCGTGTGCGGGGAGGGGGATTAAGAAGTTTAGCGTGTAGGTTAGCCCGAAATTGCAAAGGCATGTGCTGATTAGAATAAGAAAGGGCAGTCGCGTGGCTCAGCTGGCACACAGCGAGGCCAGATGATAGATAAGCAGCTCTGGGTCTTCCCTTCCCCCCAGCCCCCTTTTTCAAATCGCAAATCATCTGCTCCGGCCCTATCCTAGCCCCTCATTTTCATTACAATGGTTGTGTGTTTACCTGTGATCCTGGGACGGGGCATTCCTTTGTCTCCCGAAGAGATTACCGCAGCCAGCTGCTCTCCAGCCCTTCCCTGGGCAAATCCCGAAGTGGCCCCTATATGTGTTTTACTGATTGCTCACGAGGAGAAAGCGAGCCCCCCCACTTCCCCCGCCTCGTTTCCCTACCATACTTGTTTGTTTGGGTTTGGTCCCTGGCTTGCTTCCAACGGGATTTTGCGTGTGGGAAACTACGAGGGATAAAATTGGTCACTCGTGTGCGTGAGCTGTCGTTGCTCCCGAAATGGGAAGGGTGAAGGGCTGCCCGGGGGGGCAGAACCGCAGGGCCTCCTAGGGACGACGGGACATTAGAGGCTTCCCCTGGCTTGCCTTTCCCCTGCCCTTGAGCTCCCTCTGGTCCGGGACAGCACTATTTCTTAAACCTCCCATGGGTGCCCTGGGCCAGGCAGGTGCCATTCTTTCCCCCAGGCCCTACTCTGGTACATGGAGATCCATAGGCCCTCACTGCCCGTGTTTCTGTGTGGAGCAGCTCGGCCTCGAATTCGGAGTACTGGCATCTTGACCCGCCTTTAGATTGAAGGATACTCACGATCTTCGACAAGCTAGAAACCACAGATCCCATTTAAACTAGAAAACCTTCTGAAGTCATTTCCCGCATGAATTATCCCATGATCCTGAGATTTACCCTGTGCCGTATGCCCCATTCGCCCTTTTAGGCAAGCCTGGTGTAACCCCATACAGCGCTGTGGCCTGATTTTGTCTTGGCGGGGGTGTCACAGACAAGGAGGGTGAGCGATAGGGCTCAGATTGTGTACACATGATAAAAAAATGTGACAGCACTTCTCAGAAAAATGTTTTTGCATTCTTGCCATGAGATTTCCCTGGATGGCTGGCAAGATTTCCTCCTGATACCAACTTCAGTAGAAATATTCACTGCCTTCACCCGTTCTCATAGGGAAGCTCCTTCTTTTGCCCAGCTTTATTAATCATCATCTTAATCCAGAACTCCAAATAGTAGCTGCAAACTACCACTCCAGACAGTAGCTGCCCAGATCGCTCTCTCCCTGTGACAGTAAGCACAGCGTGCTGCTGTACTGCACTGCATTTCATGCATGAAGGGTTTTTCTGTTCTGCTGTGGCCTGCAGCCCCCTTCACACAGTGTGTGCATCTTGTGCATTGTATGCTGGCTGCAGTGCAAAACCTGCTGCTAAATATACTCTGGAGAGGGAGAAGGGGGAGCAGTTTGATTATACGTTTCCAGGGCTTTCCAAGCCACTTTCAATTTGCACAGCTTTTATTTCTTTCTGCATTTTCTTCCATGGCAGGGAAGACAGGGAGGAGAGAGAAGGTGGGGGCAAAAACTCCTCTGCAGAAGGTGATTATGAGAAAAAGGATGGGTATGGGCAGGGCGGGCCTGAGCTTTTGGAAATGCTCTCCCCTTTTCTGAGAGCATCTGCCCGGAGACGAACAGATGTGGGCACCTGCGGTGACAGGCCACATATGCTCCATCCTATTCACAGGCATTCAGACACGGCTACAATGGTGAGGCTTTGTGCACATGGAGTGACCAAATATATTAATCTGCGCTCCCCAGAGAACCGCTCTGTTTAATTTTTTCACCGGCAATAACATCTGATCTAATCTTCCCATCGGTTCTCCCATGTCCCCGTCTCCCCTCCCGGAAAGATGTGAAGTTATTCAGGTCCCCACCTGTTGCCGGCGGGGTGGGAGCGGGCCGTGCTCCCGGCGCGCCCGCAGCCGAGCCCTTATCCCTACCCAGGATAAGCGGGGGAAAAACGGGGGTTCCCCTCCGCCGGCAATCGCCGGGCACAGCAAAGGAAACCGCGCCCCCCCCCCCCCCCCTTCCTCCGCAGGTCGCGCTGCCAAAGAGCGACATAAATCTCCGGTGTGCGACTCGGAGGGGGTTTCAAGCGATTTCAGTGCGCGGCGCTTTCATCTCCCCACGGTCCCCCGTCCCCCCGTCCCGACCAAGTTTGCTCGCGGACACAATAGCCCCTCCGGCCCCACTGTGGCCGTACGAAGCCGGGGGAGCCCAGCCCGCGGGCGGGGACAGCCGCAGGTCCCACCAACCCGGCCCCCCTCCCGCTGCCGCCGGGACCGGCATCGCCCCCGCCCGGCCCTCGGCCCCGCCCCCGCCGCCGGGAGCAGGCGCGGCCCCGCCCCAAGGGAAGCGGAAGCGCCTGTCGGGTCAGTGCGGGGCGGGATTGGCGCGATTGGGGGGCCGAGGGGGTGGCTGCAGCCTTATCCCCGTCCTCATCCCTGTCCTCATTCCTGTCCCTGTCCCTGTCCCCTGGCAGACCCCGGAGCGGCGGGGCCCGGCCCTGCCGGGGCTGGGCGCAGCGGCCCCTGATACCCGCGAGGTCCTTAAAGGCCCCTTCCAACCCAAACCTTTAATTCTGCGATTAAAGAGGGTGGCATTCATAAACTCTTGTCTGGAGGGTGTTAGATCGTCAAACTCCCAAGATCCCGGGAATACCTTTAAAAGCTGTCAATTCACAATGTGTTGTTTTGGTTTTTTTCTTTTTGAATTCCATAAGCGTGTTTGCTTTGGGTTTTTTTTTAATAATATGAAATCTATACTTGTTTTTCTGCCTAGGCATGCTTTTCTATAGGTATTAATCTGAAATTTTTTGTCATATTTATGAAAACCTTTTGATGTTTACGTATTTCTCTGATAATAAAAGCCAGAAATGGAAAGGAGAGTGAATGAGTACTTGTATCAGGTTTGTTGTTTCAAACGAAACTTTCAAACTCTTATAAGTCCAAGACTAGGCAACAAGCTATCAGCAAAAGCAGAAAAACGGCAGTTCAGTTTCCAAGCTACTGGTGTTTCATGGTTTTTTTTGTTGTTTTTGTTTGTTTGTTTGTGGTTTTGTTTGTTTTGTTGTTGGGTTTTTTTGTTTGTTGGTTTTGTTGTGGGTTTTTTGCTTATAGAATTTCATTATGTTTCTTATCTTTGCATTTTAGAACTTTTTTTTACTTTTCTTCTTTCAGACTGCTGTGAGTTTTGGAGAGAACAACCATGGGCGTTAGAGGTTTGCAGGGATTTGTGGCAAGAGTTTGCCCTGATGTATGCAAAACAGTAGATCTGAGAGAAATGGCAGAAAAACATCGCGTCGACCATCCTGATTTCCCACCTGTTATTGTAGTAGATGCCATGAGTTGTGTTAGATACTGGTACACACCAGAATTTTGGGTCTGTGGTGGCCAGTGGCGGGAGTACCTTGCCATTTTAGAGGATTTTATTAACGTTTTTATGGCAGCTGGTATCAAGTTGGTGTTTTACTTTGACGGAGTGGTAGAAGACAAAAAGAGAGAGGAGTGGATCAAACGGAGGTGGAATAATACCAAGGAAATAGCCAGACTATTTCAGTTTATTAAGACTCACAGGAAACAACCAGGGAGAGAAATGTTTGTTCTTCCTTCAGCTTTGCCTACTTTTACACGTTATGCCCTGAAATCGCTTGGTCAGGAAACAGTATGCACATTGCAAGAGGCAGACTTTGAAGTGGCTGCATATGGTTTGCAACACAATTGCATAGGAATTCTGGGGCAAGATAGTGACTACCTCATCTATAATACATGTCCCTACTTCTCCATTGAGAACCTCCGTTTGGACAGACTGGTCACTGTTATGTACTCTCGAGAGGAACTTTGCCATGCGCTGGGTATTAGTTTGACACACCTCCCTCTCTTTGCTTGCTTGCTTGGCAATGATGTTGTTCCAGAAAGCTTGTTGGAAGGCTTTTGGCACAAATGTTTGGTCACCAGTCCCCACAAGAACACAAGCTACAACAGAAGAACAAAAATACTTCTAGCTGTAGCAAATTACATCTCAAAAATTCCATGCTCATGCAGCAGCCTGAAACACTTGGAAGATACGCTACCTCTGGGATCAGACAAGACACTGCTTTACAGAGGACTAAAGTCCTATCTTTTGCCTGGGCAGCAGTCTCCATGGATTCCTCCCAGTGTAACAAATTGTCAGGTGTTACCTCTTCAACAGCAATCAGCCATCTGTCAAGATAAAGAAATCTTTCAGGTAACTTGTTTTTTAAAGCTTAATGATCAATTTATTGCCATGACTACTTAGTGAAATTTGGTAATTAGTACATCGAACCTATTGAATTAAATTTGCTTTTGCAAAATCTTTTGCCTGTTAAGTAGAGCTATGGTTTGGACTATTGCATGCATCACTATGAGAGTAGATGCAGCACATTTAATAAAAAGTGGTTCTTCTCTTTTTGAAGCATCAGGCAGGTCTAGTAACGTGGAGCAACTGCTGTATAGCTGGGCATAGAGATGTACTCCCATGTATTACATGGTGTATTGACATCCTTTTACTTTGAGAACCCGCAAGTCAGCCATAAGCTGGTCAGTGGTTTGCTTGGCTGTGCCTGGCACACACAGTCAAGGCACCAAAGAAAGCTGTGTTAAGAATGGAGAAATTGTAATTGTGATGGAAACTTCCTACAGAATCATATCTTAGAATTGTAGAATGGCTGGGGTTGGAAGGGATTTTAAAGATCACCTAGTTCCAAACCCCTGCCCTGGACAGGGATACCTTCCACTAGACTAGGTTGCTCAGAGCCCCATCCAGCCTGGCCTTGAACACTTCCAGGGATGATCCACTGCTTGTCTGGGCAACCTGGGCCAATGCCTCACCACCCTCACAGTAAAGAATTTCTTCCTAGTAACTAATCTAAACCCACCTTCTTTCAGTTTAAAGCCATTCCTCCTTGTCCTGTAACTACATGCCCTTGTGAAAAGTCCTTTTCCAGCCCTCTTGTAGCTCCCTTTAGGTACTGGAGAGCTGCTCTAAGGTCTCCCCAGAGCCTTCTTTTCTCCAGGCTGAACAACCCCAACTCTCTCAGCCTGTCTTTGTAGGAGACATGCTTCAGCTCTCTGATCATCTTTGAACCTGCTCCAAGAGGTCTGTGTGCTTCCTGTGCTGAGGATCCCCCAGGTGGGGTCTCACCAGAGCAGAGTAGGTGGGGAGAATCTCCTCTCTTGAACTGCTGGCCACGCTGCTTTTGATGCAGCCCAGGATGCAGATTGCTGGGTCAGGTCAAGTTGCTTGTCCAGCAAGTCCTTCTTTGAGCTGCTCTCAACCCGTTCTCCATCCCACCTGTGCTTGTGCTTGGGATTGCCCAGACTCACATGCAGGACCTTGCACGTGGCCTTGTTTGAACTTCATGCGGTTTGCACAGGCCCACCTCTCCAGTTTCACTTACGGCTTCCCACATGGGCAGGGATGTGCTGGTGTTGAGCGAGAGATGGCACGTCAGGTTGAGTCACTCTGGGAAATTAGATATATTAGCTTAGGGTAGCCTATCTGGCTAATAGAAAATGAGCTACCTTGCATCAGAATTTATGCAATAGTAGTAAGTCTAGAGTACAATTCTGTAAATTCATGGCATTTAAGGTAACATACTGAGATTTAAAAAAAGAAAGCTATACGAGGAAGTGTATTTTAGATCCAATATTAGCCATCTGTCACTTCCTATTTTATTAGGTTCTTACAGACTTCAAACATAGAGCCTTTTTTCCTGACTCACTTATCTTGAGCAATATTACTCCAAAGTAATCATATCATTTATATTTTCCTTTAAAAAGACCATAAAACATTTTATAACTACCTTATAACCTATGGAATGCACATTTCAGCTAAACTGCAGATATATTTGGGCTTTTTTTTGTTATCCACACATAGATACAATGCATGTCTCTTTTAACTGCAGTAGTTAAACAGAAGCCGTTTTAAAAATCAGCAACCATACGTCATAATAAAGTGTTGAAAAATACTGTTTATGCTTGAAGTACAAGGAAAAATTAGCCAGAATGTAATTATCTAGGTTGGATTATGGCCAGGACAATAGTGGCAATATCCTTATTCCTTAAGAGAATGTACCATGCCGTCTTTATGACAAGTGGTCATTATTTCTTAGCTTGATCTTTCATTTGAAGGGTTGCAGTTCTCTAGCATCATGCTGAGCTACTGCTGTAATAAAATAATAATGGTTAGAAACTCCATTTAAAAATGCCTCTTCAATATTGCTGCATAAATCCTGTGTGAAGACAGTCCCTAGGCGAAGGAAATAAAAGTCAAAATGTTAGACACGTTAACTTCTCTTTTGTTTTCATTACAGGTGTTTAAATATTTGTATATGTAATGTGTGTACTTTGCTTCATATTTTGAAACCCATATGTCATTCTGCTTACCTTGCACGTAATCTGAACTGCATGCAAATGACACTCTCTTCTAATTCCGACTGTGAGGACATAGCCTCGTGTTCCTTTCTCTCAGAAAAAAAGAGCACAACTTTCTGGCTGACTGTAGGTATGAATCTAATATTTTTCAAGATACAGCACTGAATACAACACTACTTCTGAAATCAGCTTGTATTTTTTTCACTACATAAGAATATGTAGATTATTGGCAAACTGCAGTAAAGCAGTATTTTTAAATGATCTCATATCTGTGACAGTGGTTTGTATGAAATAGTTTAATGCTTCATTCAAATCATGCTTAGAAGTACTTAATTCTGATTTTTATTTTATACAAAAGTAGACTGGGGAGATTACATTGTTTACACATATTAGGAACACGAAAACATTTTTTTCAGGGCAACCATTAATTCATTGCTGTAAGTAAGTGCTCTGTTGATTTGCATTGTACACGGAAGCCTGTCATTGATTCTACGCTCATGTGAGAATTTCTTCTGAAAGTATGAAATTTCATTAGAATTAGTTTTGATCAGTAATGACCCAGTGTCTGACTTCAGCCTTGACTTGCTGAGTCTGCAGGTTTGCAGGTACTGGAATTCTGCAGAAATGGTGAATTTGGCTCTGACCAGTGGTCTGGTAATTCACAGTGAAAGAGGCTGTGATAGCTGCATGGATGTCACAACCCAAGTAATACAAATAGCGTGACACATGCAGGGAACACAGAGCAGAGAGACGTCAGTGCCTGCTTACCATATGGCATGGGTCCTGAAGAATTTATTAGTGGCACCCCATGGAAATAATTCACTCCACTCAGCTGTTTGAACACCCCCGTAGTTTTGGTCTGAGGTTGTGAAGTAGAAAGTCTGTCTGGCTCTGCACTTGGCCAGTCCAGGTTGCAGGTGTTACTGGTTGAAATTCTACGCTGCCTCGAGAGCAGCTTTGTTGCTTTTGCATCTAAGCCGCTCCAGACCAGCAGACCCGGTTGGTACTGAGGCTGCTTTTAGCCTACTCCTGTAGCCAGATGTATCTGCATCCAGTGCATGGTTATTACGCAGCCTGGGTGATGCTGTTACTCTGCTTTGCAGCAACAGCCTGTAGACCTGGTTTTCCTCACTGGAGTGGATTGCATTTCTTTACATGGGGAAGAGCTATTGCAAAGTAAATGTGGGGTGAAGTTAAGTATTCTAATTTCACCAGAACGTAAACTGCGCAGAGTCAGCTCAAGGAAGAAACAGAGCTGGCTTGTGAAGTTTATCTTGCAATAAAATTAAAAGTTTGGGGTTTGTCATGCCTCCACTCACTATTTAAAGAGAGAAGATACATTTTCAGGTAACTAAAGGAGGGCATCTGTGTCTGAATTCAGAATTCATTTTAAGAATAATTACTCTCTAAAAAACTGTCGTTCAAGCTCCAAAGTTTTAAGAATTAAAAGAAGGGCTAAGAAAGACAATGATGGGTTTCTTCCTAGGGATTCCTGTCTACAAAAAGATGGAGGTCTGAAAATATAGTATATTGGTGTTACCTGAAAAAGCACTTGTTCCTTCCCTGGCTGTTTTCTCTATTGGCGCTGATAGAAAAGAGCTATTGCTTCAAACAGTGAATACATTTTGATCCTTCTTATTTTTGGAAATAATGCCTTCTTCCTTCTTTGAAAAAACAGTTAGCTAAAGAACAGCATATCCAATCTGAAAATTATTCAGTCTTCAATGTCCTGAGTAATGGAGTGATTGAATGCAGCAACTCTTTGGAAGATGATTGTGATACTGAGATTCCTGGACAGTCACTTATCTTCCGCCCTGCTCGTCAGCATATTTATTCTGTCTTGTTGGAACCTGGAAAAGGTAAGGATTAGACTGCTTACACCATTATTCAAGTATATGTTCAATTTTGAAGTATGAAATCTTGAATTCATTGCTTCGGTGGCTACATCAGCATTTAGGATAAAAACTCTGGGCAGCTGAAGTGTACTTCTTGTGGAATCAAGAGAAAATGTGACAGTGAAATTGTGGGCTTTTTTTTACATGGTGTTCCATTTCATTGCTTTTAAAGTGATTTAAAAAAAATTGAGGTTTTTTTCCTCGTTAAATGGGAAGTTGTGAAAGTTGCTAATGATCAAAAGATTGAGCAAAACAACGATCTTTAGAGGATTTTTGAAAGTTTCAGGGTATTTGAAACCTTATATTACTTTGGTAAGTGTGACTCCTGATGAATTAGTGAGTTGTAATACGCTTTTGCAGAAACAGTAATGCACTGTTAAAATTTTACCTTCTGTTGATTTTAAGTCTGCAATTCTGAGACTAGTCAAATACAGTTACTGTAATAATACAAATGCAAGTAGCCATGCCAGCAATTGTTAGTTCTTTCATCCAAGTGCAAGAAAATATGATTTCTTTATCCAGCGGTATAAACAGATTCTGTAACAGGTATATATATACCTGTGCTTCCATTAATTTCCTTCAAGACAGAGAGTTCTTTGTTCACATCCTTGGAAAATGTCATGTTCTTAAAGGCTTCCATTAGTTAAATGTTATCTTTACACTGTCTTTCAGGCAGTGAGTTGAAAATAAAAAGTGTATTGAACTTTTATTCTTTTGAATATGTTGATTTCTCCACAGTAATCACTTTACATTTTATTGATGAAAGTGCACCGCCATCAAACCTAATATTAAAACTATTTGCTTAGAAAGGCACAGAAAGGTAATTAAGTACATGACTTCCTTCAGCAGCCAGAGGTTGAAGTTGTGCCATGATAGAAAAAAAAAAAAATAGGAAAAACCGAATCAGAGTTTACGCAGTCATTTGGAGACAAAATCTCAGCAGTAATCATGCACATCTGTCATTTTTCATTTTTCAGGCTACTGCCTCTACATTTTGTAGACAATTATAACTTGGTTGAGTTTTGTTTATTCCTCTAAGCAGCAGGATATTCATTGATGTTTTCAGAAACACCCAGACCAAAATTTCTAATTAACAGTTTTTTGCTGTGAGATGGCAGGGTAATAGGCATTAAATTAAATAGGCATTCAAATTAAATTTGAATGTGAAAGATGTCTTCTTTTAAGAAAGTGATTTTAGAATAAAACCACAGGTGGCATGTGTTAAATATTCCCAGTTCAGGCTTCAAATATATTTGATTTTTGGGATAATTTCCTAAAATAAATAATAGTGCCCCCTCAATCCTTAACCCTTCCAGAAAGATAGGTAGAGTGTGTCTGCACGACACCTCTATTAAATCTGCATTTTTAGTGCATTTATCTACCTCTAACTGCTTTAACCATGTCAATTTCTAGTAGTTTGTGAGTTCTTTTTGTGTAGTTGCTTCTAAGTCAAGTAGATCATTAATCGAAGTCTATATTAGAATTCATAAGTAAGTGTAAGCAATAATTTTTTATGGATTCACTGCTAGACCTACAAGAAAGTTTTGTTCTATACCAAGTAAGTAGAATCCTTCACCAGTTTCCCTCAGATGAGGTCAAGTTGACTGTTTTTTGTAATTTCATAAGAGGTTGGATGGGAAGAACTGTTGGGTCCGTGGGTTGTAGTATATGTAGAATCCCTTTGGATTAGCATTAAAAAGGAGCTTACTGGAACAATACATGTATGTGTAAGTGATCCTTTTTTTTTTTATTTCTTAATATCTGTCAATTGCCCTGTGTTGTAAACTGACCTCCTTGCAGTTTGCAAATCTCTTATTTACTGTTAACTGGCAAAGCAGCCAACATTTAGTAAAAACAGTGCTTACAGTTTCGGTAAGAGCAAGTTAAATATAATGTAAACTGTTTCCTCTCCTCTGAAATAAGACACTGTTAGTTTTGAACATCTAGGGTAGGATTTCCAAGGGTGCCTAAGAGAGCTACAAATCCATAGGAGCAGGATGTCTGTCCTTTGAAACCTTTGATATCCTTTGATATCCTTTGAAACCACTGGCCTATACTATGCCACTTTGCCTGAAGCCATAGTGGATAAGTGTTTCTTTTGGTGCCAGTGCCACTATAAGTAATTCTCTTGCACAGCCACTCATTTCAGTCTCTGTGCATCCTCTCAGTTGTGCTAGTGCAGCTGTTTGTGCAGCTGTGTGGTGGCCTAGTTTGAGAAACTGATAATATCCTCTTTCTCTCTCTCAATTCCCTGCCTTTCTTGCAGTCAGGTAACTAACCTGGTTTTGTTTCCCCATCTGACTCTGTGTAGCCACATACAGCTGTGGTGACACATCCCAAGGGAATGGCAGGGAGTCGGAATGACCAAATCAGTGGCCTGCTATAAAAGTTAGCAGTGCTGCTGAAGGAATTGCTCATGGCTTTGGTATAGTTTGATGTATGGTAAGCATGTATGTAGCTCTATTCATGGAAATGTTGCAGAATCACAGCCATAATTCTGACCCTCCAAAGATAAATGGGGGGCTGATGGTGATGCTGACAACATGCCATTTGTTGCCTATTTTAAAAGTACATTTATAATTAATTGAGCTATTTCTGATCATTACCTCAAACATTGCATATAGTGGTATAAATTGTCGACTTTTTAGCATCTTTCCTATAAAAAGTGCTTTTGGAAAGATTCAAGTAGGAGGGGAAAATAACGACAAATAATGCACCTTGATAGGCCTGCCAAGCTCTTTCTTGGGTGTGCAAAGAGTTCAGAATAAAGCCAGCAGGTTTTGGCATAGCACAGTCCATGGAAATACCTGCACCTGCATGACCATTGCCAATTAGGACGTTATGTAATGTAGCCTAAGCCCGTGGCCAAGTCCTGGAAGTCCTGGCATCACTCCCAGTTTTAACATTAGCAGGCTAGCCTGATCCTCACTTTGACACTGTCAGAAACATTTCATTAGCAGAATTTTTGCCAGTTATCACCAGTGACCACTCAGGAGGGCTGGCATTGTTGCAGGTGTAGAGGAACACATGTAACAGCATTTTCCAACAGTCTTGTGTTTTGCACATAGTTGAAGCTTTCCTTAGGCTGCCTAAACATTGCTTCCACAGGTTATTCAGAATCTATTTAAACAAAGAAACATTATTTCTTAAATTTCACTGGTGATACTCTTTAGGTGCACTGTGGGAAAGGGTTAGGGATTTTTTTCCAGAGATACTTCCATGCAGAGAGGGCTGGCATTTCACTGGTATTTAGAATTAAGACACATTTTGATAAGTTTTTCTGTGACCTGTGGAACTCACAAAGGATGATGCTCCCCGTCAGTTTCCCCTCAGCAAAGCTTTTCTATTTCTACACTTCTTCCCAGCATCTTAATTTGTCCTCATGTCCCTGACAACTTCCTTGTGCAACATTTGGTGTTCTATATTGCTCCCTGCTATTCCCAAATCCCATCTACCTTTCTTTCTCAGCTCTAGCTCTTCTAGAGCTACTTTTGTATTGATTTACCGTCTAGTCTGTTTGGATAAAACACTATGTTGAGTTTCCTACCTTTCTTTCAGTTGGTGCCCTAATAGTAACTCTCTGTCAGCTGAGTCACCAGTTTCACAAAATATTTAGGATTTTAATCCATTTGGAATCCCTTCTCCTATGTCAGATTTAGCTGAAACATAAGAGTGCATCCATGAGTTAATTGTAAGACAGAATTTGTATTAGGTTTGCTTCCTTAAGAAACTAGGCTAAAATTTAGGAGGCTGAATGAGCTGAATAAATACGTGCTAAATCTTAAAACAATGCTAAAACATCAGAATGTTTCTGAAAGTGACTTCAGGATATTAAATTGGAGGGGTTTTTCCTGAAATAGCATTATCACAGACAATGATTTATAGTCAAGATGCGAGACTATTCAGCTACTGGAATGTACAGTTTAAGGCTTTTTTTTTTTCGCTAGAGTAGGCATTTTCCATTTGATTCTCAATGTCATCAGTTTTTGAACAGTGAAGCATAGCAAGCCAGGTGTAATACTGTCCCCCATAGTCCATCTGTTGGTTCTTCAGTCCCTCCTCACCTTTATTGGGAGTTTGTGCTGCAGGTCCATGGGTAAGGAAGGACGGAAGGAAGAAGCAGCAGGGGTGTTGTAAAACAGATTTTGTCATGTTCTTTTCTCCGTCTCTTATTCCTGACACTAGAATTCCATCTGAAGAATTTCTGCCCTTGCCCTACAGCACACTACTTGTTCATTCCTGCCAACAGTCATCTCCAGGACTGAGCTATAAACAAGATCAGGAAATTCATGTGACAGAACTTTTTTTTTGGGTGGAGAATGGAAGGTCAATGTTGGAGAGATTTGTTTGGTTTGTTTTCATTTAGGTGAAGTTTCTGATTAAAGTTCACATCGTGGCATCAGAAACACTAGTGCAGTAAATTGCAGGGAGATTGGAATTGATGATAAAAAGCAGGAACTTTTAAGAACAGTGGCTTCAGCACTGGGTGAGAGCTGGAAGGAATTAGAGATGAAATTCTCTGAATCTCAAAAGGATAAGGGAAGGAAAAGAAGAAAAGATTTGAAACAGTACTTCTGGTTTAGCCCAGGACTAGCTAAACCTGTTTAAGCCATACTGTTTACCAGAAATTTAGGGCACTATGACATGGTTACCATAAGCAAAATCTGGACAGAATGCAGAAACACCTTTATAGAAACAATGGTTCTGGGTTTGTTTGTGGATTTTTTTTAATGAAGACCTGCAGTAGAATGATTTTGAGCTGACTATTGTAAATTGGATAGACTGCATTTCAAAAATGGTTAAATTCTTGATTTTTATCTGAGGGTATTTTTTTAGTTTGTTGGTTTTTTTCCCAAGCATCAAGTAGGTAGACACACAACTCAAGTAGTGACATTTTTAGTGTAAGATACACCCTCTTTAGTGGGGTGCAGGGAAGACCTGAGGTTAGGTACTACGAAGCCGCTTGAGCTATTATGTGTAAACAGTCCCTTTGCACTAGATAAAAGATCTGGAACTGGCTGTAAAAGCTCTGTATCTGATGGTGGGATGACTCCATCTTGTCAGCTTTCTAATAGCCATCAAGGCCTACTTATAAAGATTTTGGCTCAAACCCTGACACGGGAGATGTCAGGGGAAGTTGGGAGGTGAATCATATTAAGTACTGCCTGCATATGTGGCACTGTGACAGTCCTGAGACTGAGGTAGCTCATGTAGGTGCCTAAGCTATGCCAGATGCCTCCAGAGCTTCCTGAACTCCCATATAATGGGAAGTCCTAAAACTGTTTTCAGTTGCTTTCTACAGACTCTTGTATTTATATTTTCAGCTGCAGTTCCCAAGTCCAAACTCAAGTTTATAGTACATGGTTGAAACTCTCTTCATTTGCTCTGATTTGTCATAAAGTTGCTAAAACTTTTTTCTTGGTCACAACTGCTTACTAGTGTCAATATTTCCGTTTCACTTAATAATCCAATTCTGTTTTTTTTTTAGGTGGAGCCTATCCTTTGGTAAAAGAGTGGTTTGTCTATTTTGGAAATCCTCTCAAGCAGCCAGAGCTGATACAACCTGTACAACCTTCTGTTCCAGGTAGAATAAAAATGTGTTTAGGTCTAAGCTGAAAGAATGACCTCACTAAAATGAGGTTAGACAATCCATCATCATACTTTTCATATAGAATCCAGAATGACTGTAGAGAACAAGGAGCTAAAGTGCTGCATGCCTATAACTGCTTTTTGCAGTTATAGTAGGATTCAGCTTTGAGATACACGTTATTGCTGTGTCTTGTTAAACCCAGTGCTAATTCAAACATCAGTTCTAAAATGAAAACAATTTCTTAGCAGTTCTAAATACTGCTCTAAGACCAGGATAGGTGGTGTGTAGGGCCGTATTAAAATTTGTACATTACGTTTTTGACAGAATCTGTTAATGAGACTGATGGAGAATGTAGAGAAAAGTAATTTTTAGGTCACCAGTGACAACCCAAAAAGAGATTCCAGCTTTCAATAAAAAAAATAATTAGGTTATCTGTTTATGTGAAGCTGTTTCTATTGTCTTAAGCCTCAAGTGTTTTGTGTGGTTTTGTCTTCTTCCCTTTGGTAAAAAGCACATTCATGAACACTCTTAGTGAAATTAGAGTTACGAGAAATATGTTATATTTATGAGAAAGTATAATATACTTAAGTGAAAAGATTGGGCACTGTCTATGTCACTAAATGGTATCATGCAATACAAGTTTAGGATGGGAAGTAAACGGTACTGTTTCAATTTTGTTATTTCAGAGGGAAAATTGTTATAATTGTTCTTTTGTCCATGCTATTGTAGTCATCTTTACTCTCACAGCTCTCTCTCTCTTGCTCTCTCTCTCTCTCTTGCTCTCTCTCTCTCTCACTCTCTCTCTCTCTCTCTCTCTCACTCTCTCTCTCACTCTGTCTAGTCATCTGCTATCACATGGATCAGAAGCACATAAGTTTTTTAGTCTCTCATATGATATGAGTTTGTTCCATTGATATACAATAACATTGATACGTTGTTAAGAAAAGTTATCTACTTAACTTTTTGAGAATAATCACCAGCACTTTTTCCCTCAGCACCAGAGCTTTCTGTAGTAGTCCTTGTTCTGGTCTGCTATAAGTCCAGATTCAGAAAAAGTTGAAATACATGCACTTTTTTATAAATGTATAATAAATTTTTTTTAAAGTATCCTAACTCATAAATTTAATGAGAGTCTTCACATTCAAGGATGAAAGATAGCCAGTTGCCCATTAGGTATCAGACTTTTCAAAATCTTTTTTAAAGGACTGTTTGGAAAGAAATCATTTATATAGATAAAGTACAAATGAGTTTTTATTTGATATAATTTCACTGTCCTGTACCCCATATGCAAAATTAGGAGAGTGATTATCTGATTGGCTTTGTGATACCATGAAATTGCTGTGAAATTTTGCAAATGGGTAAGAATATGCAGGGTAAAAATTGATGAGTCTGTCCTATACAACCGTTTTATTTCAGCATACAGTGGTCTGGGGACATGCGTTTGTAAAAGAAGGAAACAAAATTCAGTGAAGTATAAACCATACCTACATTTCAAATTGCCTGGCAAATATACTGTATTTATTGCTGTGAAGTTTTCAATCCCAGATATTATACTTCCTTCCTTCCTTTCTGGAGAGGAATCCACTTAATCTCATGTACTTGAGTTCTACAGCTCTGCAAACATGCTATGCATAGAACCCATCTTTATGTTGACAATAAACAGGATTTAAAATCACTGTGTTTATTTGTTTATAGAAACCACATAAGTGGAGTTTATAAAAACAGAATCTTCTCAGCCATAATCTTTACTGACTCAGTAATGAAAGGCTGTTCAAGCAGACTATTAAAAAAGGGGAGGAGGACTTTTAGTGTTTATTTTTAGTGCTCTGTTGTCATTCCTTCAGCGAACAAATATTTTTCTAAAATTTTTACAGTCCATATTTGTATGCCTTAGATTCGCTCACGCATCTTTGATTTTCCACAGCATGACTTTCTAATTCACCAAATAAGGTCCTCAACAGCACATCACATTTTTCAGACAGGGATCATATTTAGAGCTAAATTTAAAGAAGTTGTTATAGGAAGTTTGAGTTCAAAGCTGTCAATCAAGATCAGGTTACACAAAAAGAGAAAAAAGACTTTACTAAAAACCTATTAGAAAAATCACAAGTGCAATTAATTTTGGAAGATTCTTTGTTTTATCTTTTTTGAAAAAACTGATAACCTTATAATCAAAACTACTTTAGAGCTTTACTGAGAATATATGGAAAATTCTGACTCTTTTAAATTTGATTTAGATTAAAAAGTCTGAAGAAGCTATTAACTTTGAACTGTAGTTACGTAACAATCAATATTTTAAATTTTGCATCGATCTTAAAAAAAAAAAAAAAGGAAAGAATTCCCACTAACTTTTTATATAAAACAGTAGAACTGCCTTGCATCTGGAAAAGTTGCAGGTGATAGATTGAATGTTATATCTTTTTTTTTTTTTTTAAACAAAAAAATCGTAAAGGCAGGATGGTAAGTAAGACGATAATTTAAAATAAATTTAAAATACAGTATGTATTATATATATGTATTTTTCTTGAGAGACAGACTTCTGAATTAGCATCTCTGCTTGCTTGCATTCTCTGTATCTCTTTCTTCCTTCTGGAATGTTTCTTTTCAGGTGAATGAATATGATCATTGTTTCCTACCCATTGACAAAGTAGCACTTAAATTGATAAAAAGTGTCATCAAGACATTAATTTCGTTAGAAGATCTGTGATCCAGGAAAATACTGTTTAACATCCATATCTTGTGACCATAGCAGATATATTTGATATGTGTACAGTTTATATGGAACAGAAGAAGTTCCAAAGTCTTTACCGGAAGTGTGTAGATTCTGCTGTTCATTTCATTTCTGAAAACCTATAGGATATTGTAGCTTCATACCACAGAGTTTGGGTGTACTTTCAGTATTTTAATCATTGCCTCCTACAGGAATATGACATGAATATGCTTAGGTTCAAAATGTTGTTTCTGGAATGCTTTTTTAATGGTCAGATTTGATTGGCATTTAGGTTTATGGCATCTTTAAAATTGGCCACAGTTGTTGAGAAGTACATTTTTATAAGCTTATTTTTTATAAGGTTATTTTTATTGCTCAGGAGTAACATGAACATGTAAAAATGAAGACGTGTTAAAGTTCTATTAGTGGTGTTATAAAATAAAATTTCAACAGTCAATACTTCAAATTTACATGAACAATTAATATTATACATTTATATCTGTATGCACAATGACAACTTGTTTGAAGTTGGTATGAATGTAAGGATCATCTTTGTAAAAGCCTTGAGTTAAACGATATCATAGAATTAGTGCATTCCACAACTTTTGCATGTATTGCATATTCATAAATCAGTTATTGAAATTCAAACAAATGAAATAAGTATTTATGTATTCCCTTGAAGTGCTTTTGTTTATCATGCTGCTTTCTGTATGACAATTTCATTAATTATATGAGTATACAGGAAAAAGATAAAAAGTAATTCAGTCCATGCTTTTTCTTTTAACTTGTGGGTTGTGTATGTTTGTGTGTAGTCAGGTAGTATCTCTTAACCTGCATGAAGGTCTCTGTGATGCTCCTCTTCTTGAGGTTCCTGAGAACTATAGCTTACATAGTACTAAATATGATTTTCACACAGTTTTGTGCATGCTGACAATAGCTATAAGCATATGCAGCATTTGAGTAATTCACAGGAACTTGTGGTTCCTAAAACCAGTAGGATAGATAATCTTCTCATTACTAATCTTTACAGTAAAGACATATCAATTATACATATCTAAGTATGTTTTGGTGTGTTTTCCTTTTGTTACTGCTTGTTTTTTAGGTTAATTTAGTAAATATCTAGACATGTTCTGAAAGTAAATTATTTCTTCTGCCTATTCAAGTAAATTTCTCTTTCGGAAATGTTTTCTAATTATTGTAAATTATGTAGCGAGGATGTAACTAGAGCAGAGAACAGTTTTGGGGGATCTACTGTATATGAATCCTAGAATCTGCTATGGACTTTATTTATGATGGGAGAGTCATTAAACTTCAGGGTATTTCTTTCTTTGTTTTACCTACCTTTCATTTAAGAGTTAATAGAACAGTCTTGGGAACTACATGGAATTTTATTGCTTGTATAAGAGATCATCTCAGAAAAATAACACCTGTGTGTTTCAAAAGGAGAGAAAATAAGATTTTCTTTCCCAGAGTAAATAACTCATAATATATCTGTACCTCTTTTTCCCAGGCGCAAGTAGATGTTTCTGAAAGTTTAAGGAATTGTTTATGGAAGAGATGTCTTGAATTTTTTTGTTGAGTTCTCTCAATATAGATATGTAATCTTGAATATTGACATAGTTAATGGTTTATTCTGAAGAAAGAAGGATTTCTATTATTAGATATAACCCTGGATGCGAAAAAAGAACTTTGCTTTAACTGATTTCCGGCGTATCTCTTTGTATGCAGAAACCATCAAAACTATTTGAGCTTGCCCATGTACAAATTGTCTCAGATTTGGTAGGAAGATTTTAAAGTTTGTTCTGTTTTGATTTCCTGCATGTTATATTTGTTTTAATTCCTGGAAGTCAGTCTCTGTGGTTCTTTTTTTATCTTAAGGCAGCAATTACCAATATCAAAACCACTAATTTGAGTCTTTTTGGTGCTGTCTGTACTGGCCCACTCACTGCCGCTATTTGTGTTATCTTTAACCTGCATTTCTGTCTCCAGTTAAGCAACTAGTACTTTTTCTTAATAGGGTTAGAAACTTACAGATTTTATGATACTAATTCTTTACATGGTTAAAACTTTTGACAGGAGAGTTAGTCTTAAAAGTAGTAAAAGAAACATCCATCAGTGAGATAAAGAAAGAAAATACTAACTTCTCTTCTAGGTTCCCCCTCTCTATAGAATTAGTACCATTTGGTTAATGGGCTTTCCTGGCTAAATAAACATTGTCTATGTAGATTTCAACACCTTGTCACTTTAACCATTTATTATCACCAAGTGTTCCTAACTGGTCTGCAGCTGCTGCATGTCACATAAAAAAGGAGAAGGTGTTACCAAATGTTGCTTAATTAGTCCACATTTAAAATTCACACCTTGTTTTATATAACTACAGAAGCAGCAGTACTTTATGGTGCAATTCTGTCTTTTATTGAGATTCTCAAGCAGAACCAGCTAGCTGTTCTGTTATTTCACGTGCATTACTGTTTATTTTGATAACAGATTGTTATTTAAATGAGGAGAAAATTTTATATTAATTCGCACGTCACAACCTGGGAGATGGCAACATGAGGTAAATATTAAGGATTTAGAGACAAGCATGAATGATAGTATAGAAATTTTGGAAAGGTGCATTAATCATAACTGATGACAGTTCTTTTGTGTGTGTTTGCAGCAGTGTTTCATGCAGTAGCCTACGGAGTGCAAAATACCAGATCACCTTTTTTTTTTGTTCCCAAACTGGAACCTACTGCAGAGGAGACATACCAGCACAGTGTTTTATGGAGAATACCTGTTTGCCAGCAAGTGGCATCAATGATCAGTTTGTTCATTAAAATAGGTGATTATAAGGGAGACAATGTGAGGATCCTTCAGTGATATGCGAGCTCTAGGAGAGACAGAAGAAAAAGATCTAGTTGTTTTCTGCTGAATCACTATTTATGATGAAGTGAGCTTCAGTTAATGCTGTGGATCCCCAAGGGAAGGAACACACTTGCAGGCAAACTTTGGTTTTGCATAGGTTAAATGCCTGCTGTCTCAAAGTTTTCTATGTTGTTGTAACAATTTAATTCAGTCCATTCTGCTTAAACATGCCTGTATTCAATAAATTTTGTTTAAATTATGGGCCGTATTTTTATGTTATTTTTTTTTCCAATGCAAGTTTTGTCAAATACATTTTATTTTCAGCTCTGTGATCCTTGCAAGTGCCAAGAGCAGATCAATTGTTTCCTTTCAGATTGTAATGAGGTAGACGTGTTTTATCTTGTTGCTGCCAAAATAAAATAGTGGATTTCCTTTGTAGGTGGAACACCTAATTTGAAAACACTGTGGCTTGCCAAAGGACCCGATGTGGAAAAGCAACGGTATAGTACATTTCTGGCATGCTTTCACCTTCAGGATGAGATGGAAGAAATCCAAGCTCTAGAAGCACCTGTTGCAGGATTCTGTTGCTTGCTGACCTATCTTATGATGCAGGTAACTGGGACAGTTGTTTTTAGTTCTGCTGTCAGCTAATAGATGTGACTGACTAATAAACTATTTCTTGCTAGCCTGTGCTAGATTTTTCTCCTAATCTTTACTGTAGGCATAGTTGATCAAATATAACAGTACTGCATTACAGTATTTTTAATTATTCTGCTTAACATGCACCATCCTGCTCAAGAAATATTTGGGGTTTTTTTAGTAGTTAGACATAATTCTCATGTGCCTATGACAAAACCCCTTGGGCAGTTTAACAGAGTATAAACTGAGGGATTTCCCCTGTTTTTTGGGACCTGTTTGCAAACTAAAGCTGCTCCTTTTGTGTTTCCTTTGTGTCATCAAAAGAAGACATTCCCTCAGGTGACTATGCAGGCTGTGCAAACAGACAATATAAATATTTAGTTAGCTCTCACTGCTTCTTCACACCATTTTGTCAATCTACTCATTTTCAAGCTAGAATTGAGGATATGGCTCTTCTCATTAAATTCTGAGTAATAGGGGATCATTAGGTAGTAGTTCTGTTATAATTCCAAATATTTGGCAACCTGAAGACTACCATAATTGTAATAAAAAGGGGCACAAGATTAAATACCATATTGCTTCATTGTTTACTTTTCTCTTAGGTATTTAATATATTGCCTGTACTTGCCTCATTTCAAATGCTGATCTCACAAGCAGATTTTCCTCCCTGAGGCTGAGAAAATTATAATGCTTTTATCTAATCTGATAAGCTCTGCTTCACTTGTACCTACACTGAACTTCATTTTGTCTATTGTTCTGCTTTCTCAGACTTCACTTTCCTCAATAGCAGATGTATGCTGGCATATGATACATGAAAACAAGTTCTCCCTTTCTTTTCCTTTCTTTTTGTGTTTACTCAAATTTAAATGATGCGTTGAGGAAATACATATGGGAATTATACAAGTGATCCATATAGCTCTTATTTTTTTCTTCTTTAGTTTTTGTATCACAGAATATAAATTGAAGGCTTTTTGAGGATGAAACTCATTAAACATCATTCCACGCCTTGCAGTTTCAATTCAGCAAGATATATCTTATTCAGCAAGATAAATATATTTTATATATATGTATAAAATATTATTATTAACATACTTGAAGTGTTCTTCAGATTTGGATATGAAATCATGGTTTCATTTATTTGTCTGTTATCAGTGTTTCATTTATTTATTGTGCTATCCTGCACAATCTTTCATAGCATGGTAACTAAATTGTTTGGAAAGGGTTTCTTTAGTGGGAATACAAAGAGGAGTAACAGGACAGAATACCTATAGAAATATGGATTTACTGAACCTTGATCACAGCATATTAGTAAAATAAAAAAATGTTTGTCAGGGAAATGGTTTTTCAGAACTCATTATCCAATGAGTTCTACTGTTAAAAACAGAGATGAAAGCAGTTTCACAGCTCTTCTTTTCAACAGGAATAATAGTAGAGAGATCATCGAAAGGGCTTAGTTTGATGGAAGGTTTCCATGGTGGTGCCAGTTTCTCAACATCTCTCTCATTTTTCTGATTCTCTTCTGGCCTCTGAGTTGTCCTGATACAATCTTCCCTATGAATGAGACAAGGGAATCAATTTAGATTGAAATCTTTTTCATTGCTGAGTTTTTTTTAATGTTGCTTATTTCTCTGGCATTGTCCATTTGTTCTCTTGGAGTGTTGGAGAGGACAACTTGAGAGCCAGAGTGTCAGCAGCCATGCTTCGAGCTGTCCAAATTGCTTCCATTTGTTTTATAGCTGAAAAAACAATGCTTGTCTAACTGTGATCTAATTCTTGTCTTTACTTTACACTTTAGTCCTAAATTTCTATTAGAGAAGGAAGGTGGATTTTTTTCTCAAAAATTGTTTAAGTTGACCATTTGTAGGTTGCCTTGGAGCAGGCTTCAAGCTTTCCTTCAGCTCATGTGAGGGAGAATAAACTTCTTAACATTTTCATTCCTCATTATTTAATTTAACCTAAAAATTAGGTTTTTACAGGAACCTTCGTATTGACCAACCCATCTGGCTTCCTCAAAACTTATATGCAAATATTTAATGAAAACGTTTTTTTTTTAAGTAAGGAAAAAATATAATAAACAAACCTTAACTATGTAAAGAAAGTGTTGATTTGAAAACCATTTTTTTCAGCGAGGGTACTTTTCAAATGTCGTCCAAATTCAGAACAAAAATTTACAAAATAACAGGTCTGTCTTTAGAGTTGGGAAAGGAGCAAATTAGTTCAAATATCAAAATTTGAAGTCTGCAAAGAAAGGGGAAATTTCTCTTTCAATCTCTTATGGTTTTGGAAAAAATCTGACAGTGGAATTGTGGTAACTCACAAAGTTTTGTTAATGAATAAAATATTTCTCCGGAGGAGTGCTTTTACATTTGTAAGCATTTTGGCTGATCTGCTCTATTAGAGACATTTTCTTGCTGTTGTACTTGCAAGCAATCTTTGATTACCTTTTTTTAGCACAAAATTGTGCAAGTATTGAGAATTGTTTCATAGATTCAAGTCACTTTTCTGTTACTTCAATGTATAAAATGTGCAGGTTCAGTAAAACTCTTGTTGCTCCCTACACAAAGGTGACACCTGACTTGAATTACAGGGTAAAGTAGGGCCATTATCAGATCTTAGCAGACAGGTGGAGTTAATGAATACCAAGGAGCACTTTGAAAGCTTAAAATTTTTCTAATATCCCTCCCATTCTTGTGCTTTATGCAAGATCTAGCAGCATCATAGAGGGGAAAGTATTTTTCAATGCAACAAATGCAAGGCCTGACTTAAAATAAATTTTAAAAATTCTCAGTAGTGGTTAGATAAGTTTTATCCTGAGGAGGAAAGAATGAGTTACTCCTCCTAAGCAAATAAATGAATGACATAATTATAGAGGGCCTCTTAATATTTGGGGAGTTTTTCCTGTTGATTTACATTAACACTTTTTTGTTAATTCTTCTTTCCTTCATTTTATCTGTCACTAAATTGAAGCTCTTATTGGATTGAAATAAAATGTACTAAACATCCCCCCAAAATCAAGCTGTTTAAAGAAAGGCAATGCAGAGTTTTAGGCAGCCTTTTAACTTCTCTGTAAGCCCACAATGCACATTTCCACATTTTGCAAGAGAAACCTTTCCTCAAGTTCCAGTTGATAAGGAACTATAATGTTTTATGGATCTTGCTTTAAAGCCCTTTTTATAGTCTCAACAGTTGTAACAGATATGTGGTCTTGGTCCACATAATGTTCTTATAAGAGGAAGGAAAGGATCAGAACTGAACTGGTATTGTCATGAGGTCATCCCAGCTGGTCTCAAGGCACTGTCTTTCTTCTGAGGTGACCATGTGCCTCTACAGAATTTCAGAACTCCACAGGAGAAAAAGCCCCCATTCCCCCTTCACTCATAGAAGTATTAGAGTGAACTGTTACATGAATTTAGAATTTTTCTTTATGTTATCCCACTGAGCATGCTAGATTTAGTTTTCTCATAGTTTAGAGTTTTCCTCTCTTCAATTTGTAGCCTAAAAATCTTGCAATTTAGCTAAAAATAGGCAGTTAAATATTTTAGATTATTTTTAAAGTTTCCAACAGATAACTGTGTAAGCATTTGAAAAAAAAACCTAATGGTCATCACATCTGTGGCTCAATGAAGTGGGGTTTATCCTGGATGTTAATTATAAAGCAGTTTTTTTTTTAAATCTTATTTTTTTTACTATGCTTGGTGTTATGGAGATGAAGTTCTTTCCTTCCTGAAGAAACTTCAAGGGAAAAAAGAGGGGTGGGCTTTTCTGTGTGTGTGTGTGTGTAGAAATCCATGTATATACACTATACACGAGTATTGGTACATGCATTTCATGCAAATTGTGAAAGAAAGTATTTTGTTCCCTGAAAGTGTGTTTTCCTAGACAATGCATTCGTGGTGGTCATAATTACATGAGGTCATTGATCTAAGTTTGATTTGCTTGAGTAAGAGGAGTCAATTTTCAGGAGAGTTCCTCTTCAGAGCCTTCAGATAATGTGTTATTTTTTCACCTGTTTTAGGTCAGCAGCCTCTCTCTGGAGGACTTAAATGCATTTGTGGCACTCGTTCTCTGCCTCAAAGGGAAGTCAGCTGCTCAACTGGCAGGTCTGCAGGTACAGACCAGAATAATTGTATTGCATAAAATGGTCATGAAAGATATTTTGGGAGAAAGTTGTTCTACATTAATTTTTTTCAGATATGGGAACTAACGGTCATGGTAAATACACAGGCTTTTAATGTGAATTCATGTGAATACTTAGATTTGTTAATCACATAAAAAATTAAAATGGAAATTACATTTTTTGGTGGTTGTGAAGTAGTGAGTAGTCTCAGATTTCTTCCTTACTTGGCTTCCAGACTTCCAACTGATTAAAAAATCTGTAATGATGAATCCGAACTTACAACATTGCTACATTATTTTTTACTGATTGTGTTTTGGGACATAGGTTGTGTGAAAATCACTACATTAAATCAAATTTTAGTATACTTGAGGAAGAATATAAACATAGTATAAACCTAACCAGAAAAAATGTTACCTAATGTGACCCACGGTAGTGAAAACTACTTGGATGACACTATTCTATAATTAGTCACGATTTCTTTTAAATATTTTATGTACTCCATGCAAATCTGGTTTTTTCCTTTCTTACCTTCTTCAATCCACATGTGGAAAGGCAGGTTCCTAGATGATTATTGCAGTAGAACCATTTAAGTATATCTTCTTGCATATGGCCATTATACAAGAGTATTTTCAATGTCACATCTTGAAATTGTATTCAAAGTATTAGCAATGTAGAGCACACACTGCGCGTGTCAATGGCCATTGAGAAGTAGGTGGGAAAGGGTTAGAAATAGTTAGAACCTTAACATATCTTCACTCTTTAAGTCTTGCTTATATTTCCAGTAAATTCTCTGTTGCTTTGAACAGTCCATGTTAGAATTTTAAAAGTACTTTCTGCTGATAGCAAGGTAAACCAACCACTCCTATTACTATCCATTTTTTTCCAGCGCACAGGGACCAAAATAACAAAACCAGTGTGCTTCCAGTTTCGTTATTTCAGTCATTATAACAGATGAAATCCAGTCTCCTATCATTTTTTAAAAATTCATCACAAATTTATTCTGCAGCTGGTCAAGTGTAAGGTCTGTGTTACTAAAAGGAAGCTATGAAATGAACACAATATGGAAAACAGCAAAAATGTAGGATTTATTTCTGTCAAAGACATTATTGCACATAGTGTTGCACTCAACACTGTATCATTACTTTATCAAATCCGTGTGGCAGTCATTCAGCAAAAGCATTAAAGAAACCAAGCTTAAGTGTTGAAACAATTTGTTTATAGGTGCACTTATAACATATACTATATGTATACATAAGATACACTTAGGTAATATTACATAAGTTTCTAAAGTGTTTAAAAGTTTATTCTGTTTGAGTTAGAGGTCTTTGTGTGCTTCATTTGTGTTGTGATTCTATGAAAATAGAAATCTGAGTGTTGCAAAGATGTAGTATTAATCAATGTATGCTACTTACCAGCACTGTACTAATTCAGAGTTGTTCACGAAATTTTTTTTATTTTCCCCCAAAGCTTATGGCAGATAGTTATGGGCATAAAAGTGCATTAAATGAGAAGCTGGTCTTACACTGTCTTGTGAAGTGGACAGAAAGTTGTTGGAATTGACTTCTGTGTGCTATTGGCAGGTCCTTTCCAAAGTTCTGTCCCTCTGCTGCTTAGGAAAGTACTTCATGCACTGTCCAATAATGCCTTCTGCTGTGCTAACAAAAAACCCAAAAGATTTGTATAATGCAGTCAAAAATTTTATATCAAGCTATTTTGTAGAGCACTTCCTTGTCTTATTCTATTGAAATTCACAATAGTGACTTTGGTAATAGTTTGAGTCAGAATAAATCCCACTAAAGGGAATAGTGAGGAAAGATTTTGGTCTCTTTCTCTTCTGAGTTTGTGAATAGATTAATAAGAGTTTCAAAACTCTCCTCCATTTGCCTTCAAATTAACCTCTCTTCCTGTGTTTTGATGACATGGATTTCCTGGTGGAAAACCGTTGCTGTTTTTCAGTTTCTTTTATATCTGTGTCTTGTCAAGCTATATCAAGAAAAGATGTTATGTTGTATCAGTTGACATAAAAATACTTTTTTTCGTCATATGTAAACCGCCTGTAATTTTGTGGAAGCACCAGGATCAGTTTCAAGATTTATATGAAGTTACTCTCACTTCACAGGACTAGTAAAAAATGAGCTGCTTCCTGTTTCTGTGCTTCCGAAGTGTGGTGTGTAGATGAATTTAATTATGTCCTGGGAATTTTCTTTTGAAAGAACAGTACACTGAATAAATAGAGTATCTTATGTAAGTACTCTAAGAATAATGGTTAATAAAGCAAGCTTTCTAAGCATTATCATTCAAGAATCTAATTTTCAGGATTCCACCTCAGAACAGCTTAAGCTGGTTTAGCTCATTACAATGTTTATCTAGTCATTTTGCAAATTTGAGATAGGCTGTTATTTTAATAGTTAGTAAATAGGTTATCAATAGTTATTTAAGAGCTTAATGTTCTAGACATTTATGTTTAAAATCAAATGATCCAAGTGCAATGAATTACACTACTACATAGCTAATTAATACGTGGGATTTACAGTAGAAATCAGGAATAGAGTTTAGTCCATTTACCATACTTCTTATTCTCCACTGAAAGGTTAAAAGTGATCTTTAGAAAGACTTGCAGAACTTTCAAGGAAAATTATGTTAAACTTAGTCAGCATCTGCAAAATTTTATGAAGTTGTTTGCTCATTTGCCATTTTAGACTTATAACTATAGTATTATTTTAAATGTAGAAAAAGTGTTTGCTTCTTGTAAAAAATTCTGTGAAATACAATAATTTGATTAAAAAAAATTCTCTGTTTCTGTAAAAGACTCTATTAGCAAATATGTTTCAGCAGAAGAACACTGAAATTCCACTGTGAAATATGAGAGAAAATCTAGAGCCTGTTCTTCTGATAGCATGAAGAGATCAGCCTTGACTTTCAACTCTGCTTTCTAATATGCTGTCCATATTTAATAGTTAATGAGATCCATAAACCCACAAATTTCTGAAACAGAAATGTCTATGGTTTGAATAAAGTGGGTTGAAGCCGTAAAAAATATAGTTTATCTCATGCTGAAAGAAAGTGGGCTGTGGACATGTAACTACATTGTACATTAAATATTACTTTCTGAGAATAACATAATGTTTATACATGAAGATTTGATTATTTTTCAAGATCGATGGTCTCACAATACCAAAATGTGCACAAGATAGAGAAAACATTTTTCTGGTAAGTTTTTTTCTAGTTTTCTTGTGCTGCCCCCCCTTATATGGTAGATTGGCATTCTGCTTTGCCCAAGCCTCCCATAGAGCTGATACATAAGGTCAGAATTAAATTTTGGACCCCAGGTTGTCTATTTCCCTACTTTCTATTTTAATCTGGTGTGTGGTGTTGGCAAAAAGCCCGGAGAGCCATCAGTCTAACTTTGAGGCTGTTGCAGAGAAAAAGAGGCACCAGCAGTCATGCTTCCAGTCTTGATTCTTATATTGAGCTGGCCACTGGTTGTTGAGTGTTTGTCAAGCACTGAAGTATATTCCTTCAATTTTTTAAGTACTTTCGATTATTTAAAGGTATTACTGGTATGAAATGAACACATTCATTTTAGATCTTAAAATTTAAGCTCCAGAGAGTCTTTGCAATTTGATTGAAAATGAATTTCACAAAATGTGTATTAAGTATTATTTAATTATCTTTTGGAATAATAATAATAATATAATAATAATGATACAAAAATACTCAGCAAACTAGTTAACTAGCTTGACAGGTGGAAATAGCTTTAGCAGGAATTGTAGTTGTGCAGAACCTTTGAGTATTTTCCATTGTACAGTGTCGTGGAAGCAAAACTACCTTAATAATAGTATTATACCAATATTGCACAAGATACTTTTCTCTAACTATTTCCTGAGGAATACTCAGTCACATCCATGCAAAATAGCAGTATGGTTTAGAGTATGTATGGCAGCAGTATAGATAACCTGGTTAGTAGTGTGTAGGTATCTTGGTTAGGGTCCCTCAAATTTAAAGGGCATTGCTAAATCTATTCTGTATTTTTAAGCTCTGTATTCATTCTTCTATGCTGTGCAGACAGAAAAACGTAAATAATATTTGGATTCTAAACATTCAAGAATTTCTGACCTGTTTGGCAAGCCAAGCTACATTTGTCAACACTGTGTGATATTTTTCAAACAGATTCCAAACAGCCTTTGTGAGCTATCTATATTTTTCAAAATATAATTTTTTAAAAAAATTCTTTCTTCCCCAGAGAGTGTGTGTTTATTGTTCCCTTGTGACTGTTTCCTAATAAATATTTGCTTTAAGTCTAATTGGGTTGAATGAAACATGAAATGCAAGTAAGAATATTGTAAAGATTTCACAGATAACCCCCTCTTACAAAGAAAGGGCCTGCTTCTGTGATGTAAGTTAGTATTAACCAAAGTAGAATTTGAGTGCATTCCCAGATGCTTAACTAAATTGGGATTTATATTCCCTCAAAATTTGCATCTGTCAAAAGCGGTTTTAAAATGATAAGTGGGATTGTAACTGCAGGGAGTAGGAATAGAGGGGATTGAGGTGGTTTACTATCTTGGCATTGCTTTCCAGCCCATTCTCTTATCTGGAGTCTTTAGGTTTTCTGGAACAAAAGTCTCACAGTATTGGATGTGGTTTCAAGTTGGGATTGGTTCAAACTTAGAAATATAACTGTCTTCTCATGTCCTCAAGACATTCTTAAATGAATTAGTTCAAATAGAAACAGTCCACTTACACAGGTCAAGCATTAATGCAAATACAATTATCTGTCAGGAGCTGAAGTTATTCACTGCTTGCAGCAGCTTTTGAGAAGCCCATCTTTAAATCTGTTTCTATTTTCATAGGAGTGTTTTGAAGTTCTGAAGAAATTCAGGTTTTCTCAGTCCTGTTGCATTGACAACTGGCTCTATCTTTCTTTGCTGATGTTGCTTCCTAAGCATATAAAAAAAAAGTCTTAAGCTAACATATTCAACTTGCAGACA